AAACTGACTGACTGACCCTGCATCTATACTGACTGACTGACTGACTGACTGACTGACCCTGCATCTATACTGACTGACTGACTGACCCTGCATCTATACTGACTGACTGACTGACTGACTGACTGACCCTGCATCTAAACTGACTGACTGACTGACTGACTGACTGACCCTGCATCTAAACTGACTGACTGACTGACTGACTGACTGACCCTGATCAGAACATTTAAACTGCAGCAATCAAACTGTTTCTAAAATCTAGAATCTCTCATTTTCACATCTTCCAGTTTATTTAATTCGAACTCTGCAGAAAATTAGTTTGTTGCTTTTTAAAATTTTCACCTGAACTAAACAACATGGAGATAAAATGATAAAGAGGTCTTTAAATGTTGGTTCTATTATGGGCAGGATGTAGATGAGCTGTTAAACCAAACTACTGTTAAATAATTAACATTATGTTAACCCAGTGGTCAGTATGTTAATTTATCTATTTTATATGATTTATTATTACTTTTACTTTATTTTTACTTTACGTTTTTAATAGAGTAGAAATTTGTGCTATTTTTTATTTAAGGCTCCTGATAGTTTAGTTCAGTAAAAAAAATCTAATGAATCTGTTGGTTTGTTTGCTTTAAAAAAAAAAAGAAAAAAACATCTAAACATTTAGATTTCATCAGCAAACTTGCAGCCTGATTAGAAGAAATGTCAATTTGAATTAAGTAATTTTTAAAGTGCAGACCTTAAAGAGCTCCATCCGATAGAACCGGTGGTTCTTCCCGATTAGCTTGGTCTAAAATCTAGAAAACATAGAAACTCTTTCCTCTGACAGTTTCCTCGTTAATGATGTCTGCAGCGCTCTCCTCTACTGGTAGCAGAAATGGCGCCACGCTCAGTGGAGCTGATCCAAACGCCGCTGCAGCTCTATCGATACCTGCTGAGATGCTGCAGGCAGCTCCCGTCCACCGCCATGCAGCAGCACTATCGACACGCCATACGACAGGTGAGCGCCGGGCGGCTTCAGGCCAGGTGGATCAGGCTGACTCAGCCGAGCATTTCATTCACTCTGGCAGATTTCTGAATTTTATTGGGTTCTTATGTGACAGAGCAGCTTAAAGTAGCTCATTGTGTTTACAGCCTGTTTTTTATCTGGTTTGAGCCCCTTTACTCTGTTATCCTTAAAGAAAACTGAATCCCGAGTTTTAGAAGCTGATAAGATCCAGATGTCTGAAAAGCAAATAGAGTCCAGCTGTTTGTACTTTAATCTGCACTGGAAAAAACATCTAGAAATAAGTAAAAATGTCCTAAATTAAGTGGATTTCGCCTTAATTTGTGCAGGTAAATAGGATGATCTGCCAATGAAATGGGTATTTTTACTCTTAAAATAAGATAATTAGATAATATGCATTTGAAATAAGTCAATGCCATTGTTTTTACTATTTTAAATGTAAATGATTTTGTTCCATTGGCCCTGTACCGGGCCCGGTACAGAGCCCAACTGCCCCCTGCTCATGTTTATCTATTTATAGAAATGGACAACATGACATGATGTGAATTTATAATATTTGAATTTAATATTTATCTGACCAGATTCCGTTTTTATGAGGGGAAAAAAGCATTTTTGCACTTTTGGAACCACTGTGCCTAAATAACATTTCCACCTAGCACACTGACCACTAGAAACTTTACATTTCAAATAAGAAAAGAAAATACATTGTCCTATTTCAAGTGCATGTCTTATTTTAAGAGTAAATATACTCATTCTATTCTATTCAGTTTATTTCTATAGCTCCAATTCACATCATGTCATCTCAGGTCACTTTCCAGTTCACCAGATCATCCAGTCAGATTGATTCAAAGTTTTCTATCTAAGGAAAACCAGCTGATTGCATCGACTCATTGACTCTTCAGCAATCCCTCACACTAAGCATGCTTGTAGCGACAGTGGAGAGGAAAAACTCCCTTTGAACAGGAAGAAACCTCCAGCAGAACCAGGCTCAGTGTGAGCGGCCATCTGCTGAGGCCCACTGGGGTTCAAGGAGACAGAAGCAGACATATATTGGCAAATCATCTTATTTATCTGCTCAAATTAAAGGTAAATACACTAACTTTAAAAAAAACTTTGACTTATTTCTAGCTGTTTTTTTGCAGTGCAGTTATTCTGCATCTTGATCTAAAGCAGAACAATCAGCATCACAGAGACCAAGGAGCCCAGCAGACAGATCAGGGCTGAAGATGTGGAGAAGGAAGCCCGGCATAGCTCTGTGGGTGGTGCCTGTTGGTCAGGGTGGATTTTTCCAGCTTTTCTGAATATTTTTCACTCTCTTCTTCTCAGTGTTTGACATTTCTTTGGCCCAGAAGCTTCTAGCTGATCAGTGGTCATCAGCAGAATAATTCTGTCTCCTCTGTTTGCTTCCAGGGTTACAACAGCCACTCGGATGAAGACGACCCTGAGAGGATCCAGATGATGATCCAGAGGGCCGTCAAAGATGCCGAGTGGATTTTAGACAAAGTAAGAGACTCACAGAAAACCATCGTCTTGTTTGTTTGTTTTTTAAACCTCTTTGTTTTAAAGTCCTATTTGTTTATTTGCAGTATACCAAGAAGAAGTAGGCTCCATCTCACAGCAGGACAGCGTGTAAATATTGCTGCTTTGTTTCCAATAAACCATGTGAGTCATGAAGCCGGATGTTAATTATTTCAGCTCTGTGACGTCTGTGGTGTTTGGACTGGTCCAGGTTAAGGACCCAGCTCAGTCCACCACAGCGATGGGTCCAGCAGCACTGATGCGCCGCCGCACGCGTCCGGCTCTAACAGCTAAACCCGGCGTCGGTGCGTTTAGCGTTTCCAGAAAGTCAGGTGGCCGATACACGAGCTGACTGACGCACAGGACGGGGTTTCTAACCACATCTGCTAAGATTATCTCTGATATTTGTTGTTTTCTCATCAATTTAATCAGGAAATATGGAGCCGCCTGAAGGTTTCAGCTGAGTGGAAACATTTGCATCTCATATGCATTTTAATTTTCTGGTGATGTCATCCTGCTCCTCTCAGTTATCAGTCAACTTATCTGAATTCAAATTGACTCTGTTTGCTGTTCTAGTTATTATTTTAAATAAATAAATTCCAAACATCCTTATTCACTTCTTCCCTTAAATTTTCCCTCTTTGCTTCTAAAATATCAAACATTTTTTCAATTTAAACAAAGATATGAAATAATTCATCATAGCAAACAATAGATTAAATCACATCATTGGTCATCAGATCAGTCAGTCTGTAGTGATTTTAAATGTCCAGCAGGTGGCAGTATTCTGTAGCTATTAATACTCTGTAAAAAATGTAAATCTAATAAGTCTTTTTTTTTTTATTAAGTGATTTATTTATTTATTGAGGAGGTAAAACACTTTGCCAATGGAAAAAGATCATTTTAAAATAAAAATAAAACATTTAAAATAAAAATACAATTGCATTGTCTTGATTGAAGTGCATATTATCTTATTTAACAGTAAAAATACTCATTTCATTGGCAGATCATCTTATTTACCTGCTTAAATTAAGGGGAAATCCACTTAATTTAGGACATTTATACTTATTATTATTTCTAGGTGGTTCTGCAGTGTGGGCTATCTAAAGGAGCGCACTCTGTTATTTACAGCTTTACTGCGTTAATAATAGCTAAAAAAAAAATAATCTGCTTTCCAAATAGGTGAAAGATTTTTATGGATTCTTTAAAACATTACATGGTGAAAGTTTTAAAAATCTTTATTTCAACCATGATGAAAATGACATGAATGAGGAAAATGGTTGAGTTGTATTTCTGCTACAGTTTTCAAGCAGAACCGTTTGGATCTTAATTACTAGAATAACAGCGATG